AGGCAAGAACTTGTCTGTGTAGACCAATTGGGTTTCCAAAAGAATGTGATGATCGATGGTGTCAAAAGCGGCACTAAGGTCTAGGAACACAAGGACAGATGCAGAGCCTTGGTCTGACACCATTAAAAGGTAATTTACTACATTCACGAATGAGGTCTCAGTACTACAATGGGGTCTAAAACCAGAATGGAGCATTTTGTATACATTATTTGTCTTCAGGAAGGCAGTGAGTTGCTGTGCAATAGCTTTTTCTAAACATATTTTTGACAAATGGGAGTTTTGATATAGGCCGATAGTCTTTTTAATTATCCGGGTCAAGGTTTGACTTTTTCAGGAGAGGCTTTATTACTGCCACTTTTAGTGAGTTTGGTACACATCCGGAGGATAGGGAGCTGTTTATTATGTTCAACATAGGAGGGCCAACTACAGGAAGTAGCTCTTTCAGTAGTTTAGTTGGAATAGGGTCCAGAAGGCAGCTGGAAGGTTTAGAGGACATTACTATTTTCCTGAATGTGTCGAGAGATACAGGATTAAAAAACTTGAGTGTCTCCATTGATCCTAGGTCCTGGCAGTTCTGTGCAGACTCAGGAAAACTGAGTTTTGGAGAAATATGCATATTCAAAGAGGAGTCCGTAATTTGCTTTCTAATGATCATTATCTTTTCGTTGAAGAAATTCATGAATTCATCACTGCTGAGTGAAGGCCATCCTCTCTTGGGGAGTGCTACTTTTTAGTTAGCTTTGCGACAATATCAAAAAATGCATTTTAGATTGTTTTTATTCTCCTCAATCAGGTTGGAAAAGTAGGCTCATCGAGCAGCAGTGAGGGCTCTTTGATATTCCACGGTACTGTCGTTCCATACTAGTCAGAAGACTTCCAGTTTGGTGGAGAGCTATTTCCATTCCAATTTTCTGGAAGCTTGCTTCAAGACTCAAGTATTTTCTGTATACCAGGGAGCTAATTTCTTGTGATATATGTTTTTTGTTTATAGAGGTGCGACTGCATCTAGGGTATTACGCAAGGTTAGGTTTAGATCCTCGGTTAGGTGGTTAACGGATGTTTGTACTCCAATGTCCTTGGGTAGGTGGAGGGAGTCTGGAAGGGCATCTAGGAATCTTTGGGCTGTCTGAGAAATAATAGAGTGGCTTTTGATAATCCTTGGTTGGGGTCTGAGCAGATTATTTGTTGCGATTGCAAACGTAAAAAGATGGTGGTCCGATAGTCCAGGATTATGGTGAAAAACATTTAGATCCACAATATTTATTCCACGGGACAAAACTAAATCCAGGGTATGATTTTGGCAATGCATAGGTCCCGAGACATGTTGGACAAAACCTACTGAGTCGATGATGGCTCCGAAAGCCTTTTGTAGTGTGTCTGTGGACTTTTCCATGTGAATATTAAAGTCACCAAAAATGTGAATATTATTTGCCGTGACTACGAGGTCCGATAGGAATTCAGGGAACTAAGTGAGGAACGCTGTATATGGCCCAGGAGTCCTGTAAACAGTAGCTATAAAAAGTGATTGAGTAGGCTGCATAGATTTCATGACTAGAAGCTCAAAAGACGAAAATGCTGTCTTTTTTTTCATAAATTGAAATTTGCTGTGCACAGCGATATGGTCATTAGTACAGTGAGGGAAAAAAGTATTTGATCCCCTGCTGATTTTGTACGTTTGCCCACTGACAAAGAAATGATCAGTCTATAATTTTAATGGTAGGTTTATTTGAACAGTGAGAGACAGAATAACAACAACAAAAATCCAGAAAAACGCATGTCAAAAATGTAATAAATTGATTTGCATTTTAATGAGGGAAATAAGTATTTGACCCCCTCTCAATCAGAAAGGTTTCTGGCTCCCAGGTGTCTTTTATACAGGTAACGAGCTGAGATTAGGAGCACACTCTTAAAGGGAGTGCTCCTAATCTCAGTTTGTTACCTGTATAAATGACACCTGTCCACAGAAGCAATCAATCAACCAGATTCCAAACTCTCCACCATGGCCAAGACCAAAGAGCTCTGCAAGGATGTCAGGGACAAGATTGTAGACCTACACAAGGCTGGAATGGGCTACAAGACCATCGCCAAGCAAATGGAAGAAACACAAAATAACTGTCAATCTCCCTCGGCCTGGGGCTCCATGCAAGATCTCACTTCGTGGAGTTGCAATGATCATGAGAATGGTGAGGCATCAGCCCAGAACTACACGGTACGATCTTGTCAATGATCTCAAGGCAGCTGGGACCATAGTCACCAAGAAAACAATTGGTAACACACTACGCCGTGAAGGACTGAAATCCTGCAGCGCCCGCAAGGTCCCCCTGCTCAAGAAAGCACATATACATGCCCGTCTGAAGTTTGCCAATGAACATCTGAATGATTCAGAGGAGAACTGGGTGAAAGTGTTGTGGTCAGATGAGACCAAAATGGAGCTCTTTGACATCAACTCAACTCGCCGTGTTTGGAGGAGGAGGAATGCTGCCTATGACCACAAGAACACCATCCCCACCGTCAAACATGGAGGTGGAAACATTATGCTTTGGGGGTGTTTTTCTGCTAAGGGGACAGGACAACTTCACCGCATCAAAGGGACAATGGACAGGGCCATTTTACCGTCAAATCTTGGGTGAGAACCTCCTTCCCTCAGCCAGGGCATTGAAAATGGGTCTTGGATGGGTATTCCAGCATGACAATGACCCAAAACACACGGCCAAGGCAACAAAGGAGTGGCTCAAGAAGAAGCACATTAAGATCCTGGAGTGGCCTAGCCAGTCTCCAGACCTTAATCCCATAGAAAATCTGTGGAGGGAGCTGAAGGTTTGAGTTGCCAAACATCAGCCTCAAAACCTTAATGACTTGGAGAAGATCTGCAAAGAGGAGTGGGACAAAATCCCTCCTGAGATGTGTGCAAACCTGGTGGCCAACTACAAAAAACGTCTGACCTCTGTGATTGCCAACAAGGGTTTTGCCACCAAGTACTAAGTCATGTTTTGCAGAGGGGTCAAATACTTATTTCCGTCATTAAAATGCAAATCAATTCATGACATTTTTGACCTGTGTTTTTCTGGATTGTTTTGTTGTTATACTGTCTATCACTGTTCAAATAAACCTACCGTTAAAATTATAGACTGATAATTTCTTTGTCAGTGGGCAAACATACAAAATCAGCAGGGATCAAATACTTATTTCCCTCACTGTATAACTAGGAGGAGAGGCCTCATTTAACACAGTAAATTAATCAGGCTTGAGCCATGTTTCAGTCAGGCCAATCACATCAAGTTTATGATCAGTGATTAGTTAATTGACTATGACTATTTTGAGATGTGAGATATTATCACAATCTCTTTCAATAATGACCGAAATGGAGGAGGTCTTTATTCCAGTGAGATTTCCAAGGTGAACACCGGCATGTTTCGTTGTACCTAGATCGAGGCTCAGACATGGTCTCAATGGAGAAAGCCGGGCTGACTTCACTGACTGTGCTAGTGGCAGATTCCACTAAGCTGGCAGGCTGGCTAACAGCCTGCTGCCTGGCCTGCACCCTATCTCATTGTGTAGCTAGTGGAGTAAGAGCCCTGTCTATGTTGATAGATAAAATGACAGCATCCCACCAGCTTGGATGGAGTCCGTCACTCCTCAGCAGGCCAGGATTGGTCTTGTTTGTGGGGGAGTCCCAGAAAGATGGACAGTTATCTACAAATTCTATCTTTTGGGAGGGGCAGAAAACAGTTTTCATCCAGCGATTGAGTTGTGCGAGTCTACACCCCCTATCTGGGAGGGGGCCAGAGACAATTATTCGATGCCAAAACATCTTTCTAGCTAAGTTACATGCTGAAGTTATGTTGCGCTTGATGACCTCTGACTGTTTTATTCTAACATTGTTGGTGCTGACGTGACGTGTATAACAATATCCCTATTCCATCTACACTCGCCAGTTTTTAGCCGCACCATCTTCAGATTAGCCTTTACGTTGGTAGCCCTGCCCCCTGGTAAACAATGTATGATCGATGGATGATTATTTTGAAGTCTAATATTGCGGGTAATGGAGTCGCCAATGACTAGGGTTTTCAATTTGTCAGAGCTAATGGTGGGAGACCAAAGAAGGCTCGGGCTCTGACTCCGACAAGTTACTTAGTGGGGAAAACCAGTTGAAAATGTATATCGGCTGAATGAGTGACACTGGTTGAGCATTCCGACAGCATTTCTTTCCAGAAGCAATGAGAAAATTGTCTGGCTGTGTGGACTGTGTAGGAGGATTAACACTACTACCTGTATTTACTGGTAGCACAGACACTGTATCATCCTTTCCTACACTTAACGATTGCGTCTGAAGCCGAGCTTGCAACTCGGCTATCCTCACCGGATGACGATAGTTCTCCTGTATATTAAGAGTAAAGCGACTGCAATGAGAAGGCATAATGTTACATCGCTTTTTTCAGTCATTTCACAGATCAACAAGAACCGTTCCAGCACAATACATTTGTGACAGAAACATTCCCACTGTCACCATGGTAACTCCAGAGAAAATACTCTTACACACGCAACACCACAGACACAACTCAAATGTATTGTGTGTGTGTGTGTGTGTGTGTGTGTTTCACCTCAAGAAAAAGGTTAACTGAACTGTGTATTAATATTAAGACTAGTCACACAGTGTTGCTCCAATATACAGTATAACAAGTCTTCTTTCATCAACTTGCTTCATCTGACATGGAAAAATACATATTGCACAAAATTAATTTAATGTAATAATGATAATGGTACAATTTATTTTTTAAGAGCTGTTCATTCCAAAGAGAATTAGTGTTTTTAAAGAAGCTAAAAACAACAACCAATAGTTAACAAAGCTTGGTTAATAGTAATCAGCACTAGGTCTACAAGTGTAGACCTATTATATCCTTAGATTGATTAAATATTAGCATTGGTCGATGTTATTCAATCATGTAATATATAAAATGTTACCAAAAATAGAATATAAATCAGAGCATGACAGTTGTCTATGTCACTCTCTCCACCCTGGTGAGGATGGGGTTCTCCTCAGGCCAGTCCCTGGTCTCCAGAGCCACCTGGAGTTTCTGCCAGAAGACCCCGGTGTGCTCCCCAGCTCTGGGCCAGCTCAGGTAGGTGCGTTTCTTCACCAGCCTCCTCATGCGGTGGTAGGGTGAGAGCTGGTGTTCTGGGATCTCCTCTAGAAACACCAGGATCAGCACATCCTTCTGCTCATCAAAAAGACGGAAGCTGGAGAGAGCAGAGTCTTTTATTTCAGTGTTTGCGTAGACGACCCGAGTCCCATACATGGGTGATTTTCCGAAAAACATCATACCTAAAGATAACAACATGGCACATTGTTTTCTCTCGACAACCCAGATGCAAAGCCGCAAGAGAGTAAAAATTATAAAAATCGATGTTTGAATGTAAATTGTGTAGAAACAACATTTGTCAAATAAAGCACTTTGCTGTTCAATAAGTGGAGTGGGTCTGGGACATTGAGAGAAAGAAAGTTAATATTAGCTATGAAGCTTCAGGGAAACAAACCCCTGGGCAGTCATACAACTATAAAGAGAAAGACATTAAACCAACCTAGCCACCTGTATCTCTCTGGAGCACCACTCGCTCTCCAGATATCGGTGGGTGATCACACAGATGGTTTTTCTGCTCCTGTAGATGGCGTCTGTGATGTTCTCTATGATGGGTTTACCTGTGGAACACAGTGAGAAACAAATCCTTTGTAAGCAGTGATTTTGGACAATTTACTACTAGTTGTATGTGTATGTAGTTACTGGTTTCAACTGAATCTGTGCACTCTTAGTATTATGCAACTTCCTGTTTCAGATGGCATTTAATGTTATACTGGATGCAGGTCACTCACACAAGCCTGTGTTGCGTCCAGAATATTCATCTAAAATGTGAACTTTCATATAAAATGTCTGAAATAACAACGCATTTCAATACAATGACTAATTGTTGTGCTGAATATGTGGTACCTGGCTGGAAGTCCCGGGGGTGCAGACACAACTTCCAGCCCTGCTCTCCCTCCAACTCTGGCAGCAGCTCCCTCACGACCCAGGATTCATCATTGGTGTTGTAGGAAATGAAGGCATCGTACTGAATAGGAGTTTGTCTGTTCCTTCACTTGGTGTCATGGAGATAAGCCAGGAAGAGGTGGTAGGCATATACCACCTGCCACCTCAGCTCCAGAGTCCAGCACTTACTGTTGACCAGGGCAGCTCTAGCAGAGCAGAAATGTGACTTGTTGGAAAGGTGGCATCCTATAACGGTGCCACGTTGAAAGTCACTGTAAGGCCATTCTACTGCCAATGTTTGTCTATGGAGAATGCATGACTGTGTTCTCGATTTTATACACCTGTCAGCAACGGATGTGGCTGAAATAGCCGAATCCACTAATTAGAAGGGGTGTCCACATACTTTTGTTAATATAGTGTATGTTGTACTGCAGCTTGCACCCTATTTTTTACATCATATGATTAAGCTGGTACATTGACATTTAAATATAATACAAATGTTGACTTCCAATTACTACTAGAAAATTGGGCACCGATCCACCCACTGTCAACGTGAATGGGGTTTTAGGCTGGGTTTCTGAATAAGCACTTTGTAACATCTGCTGATGTAAAAAGGGCTTTGATTGAATTTGATTGAATGTCTATTCTATTATCTCTCTCTGCTACCCGGACACACATGCAAATAGTCCGGGTAGCAGAGAGAACAGTCTATGACTAGGGTGCTGGAGTCTTTGACAATTTTTAGGGCCTTCCTCTGACACCGCCTGGTATAGAGGTCCTGGATGGCATGAAGCTTGGCCCCAGTGATGTACTGGGCCGTACGCACTACCCTCTGTAGTGCCTTGCGGTCGGAGTCCGAGCAGTTGCCATACCAGGCAGTGATGCAACCAGTCAGGATGCTCTCGATGGTGCAGCAGTATAACTTTTTGAGGATCTGAGGACCCATGCCAAATCTTTTCAGTCTCCTGAGGGGGAATAGGCTTTGTCGTGCCCTCTTTACGACTGTCTTGGTGTGTTTGGACCATGATAGTTTGTTGGTGATGTGGACACCAAGGAACTGGAAGCTCTCAACCTGCTCCACTACAGCCCCGTCGATAAGAATGGGGGCGTGCTCGGTCCTCTTCTTTTTCCTGTAGTCCACAATCATCTCCTTTGTCTTGATCACATTGAGGGAGAGGTTGCTATCCTGGCACCACACGACCAGGTCTCTGACCTCCTCCCTATAGGCTGTCTCATCGTTGTTGGTGATCAGGCCTACCACTGTTGTGTCGCCGGCAAACTTAATGATGGTGTTGGAGTCGTGCCTGGCCATGCAGTCATGGGTGAACAGGGAGTACAGGAGGGGACTGAGCAAGCACCCCTGAGCCGCCCCCATGTTGAGGATCAGCGTGGCAGATGTGTTGTTACCTACCCTTACCACCTGGGGGCGGCCCGTCAGGAAGTCCAGGATCCAGTTGCAGAGGGAGGTGTTTAGTCCCAGGGTCCTTAGCTTAGTGATGAGCTTTGTGGGCTCTATGGTGTTGAACGCTGAGCTGTAGTCAATGAACAGCATTCTCACGTAGGTGTTCCATTTGTCCAGGTGGGAAAGGGCAGTGTGGAGTGCGATTGAGATCACGTCATCTGTGGATCTGTTGTGGCGGTATGCGAATTGGAGTGGGTCTAGGGTTTCTGGGATAATGGTGTTGATGTGAGCCATGACCAGCCTTTCAAAGCGCTTCATGGCTACCGACGTGAATGCTACAGGTCTGTAGTCATTTAGGCAGGTTTCCTTCGCATTCTTGGGCACAGGGACTATGGTGGTCTGCTTGAAACATGTAGGTATTACAGACTCAGGGAGAGGTTGAAAATGTCAATGAAGACACTTGCCAGTTGGTCCGCGTATGCTCTGAGTACACGCCCTGGTAATCCGTCTGGCCCTTCGGCTACGGAGAGCGTGATCACACAGTCGTCCGGAACAGCTGGTGCTTTCATGCATGCTTCACTTGATGAGAGAACAGCGTTCGCAACATAGCCAGATAACATATAGTAGGCCAACTCATATTCTGTTCTTCTGAAAAATATTTTCTTCATATCATAATGTTTCTTTAGACCTGCCCAAAATAAATAATGGATTTATTGTGATGTTGTATATTAAATTGATTTAATTGACTTTTTTAAATGTAGATTACTGTGAGACCGGCAGGCTTTAGCATGACAAAAACTGGCTGACAAAATGTCATGACCACGACAGCCCTAACCGAGCGCACTGGACTAGGGAGTTTTTTTTTATAAAATCAGAGAGGAAAACCTGTTTCAGTCTGCTTTCCAAGACACTAGGAGACAAATTCACCTTTCAGCAGGACAATAACCTAAAACTCAAGACTTGATAATGGCTTTCTAGCAATGATCAACAACCAACTTGACAGAGCTTTAAATATATTGTACAATCCAGGTGTGCAAAGTTATTAGAGACTTACCCAGAAAGACTCACAGCTGTAATCACTGTCAAAGATGATTCTAACATGTACTGACTCAGGGGTCTGAATACTTACATAAATTAGATATTTATGTATTTCATTTTCCAAAAAATTGCAAAAACATGTTTTCACTTTGTCATTACGGGGTACTGTGTGTAGATGGGTGAGATAAAAAAATATTTTGAATTCAGGCTGTAACACAACAAAATGTGGAATAAGTCAAGGGGTATGAATACTTTCTGAAGGGACTGTAATTCTAGACAGATGTGCTTGGTGGACAGAGCTTGCACTTTTGGTACTATTCCATTGCAAAAATCTTTACAAGACTGCTGATCTCTCCCTGCTTCTCCTCTGATACAGGTATCGTCACAACACCAGTGAGAGGAGTCTACTACTTCAGGTTCACTGCTATGGAACACCGTAGTTCTGAAACCTTGGGAGTATTCATATATCAGAATAACCAGAAAGTTATGAAAAATGTGGATACAATAGCCATGGAAACCACATGTAACGTATCTAACACATTGTCTCTAGAGCTGGAGAAGGGGAATGTGGTCTACATGCGTCTCCCCTCAAGTAGGGCCTCTCTGATGATGGTAATGATTATGGTAGTGATCATGGAATAAGGAACCCTTCCCTCACCTCCCTCACATAGTTACATGCAGTTTTACTTCCAAGTTCTAAAACCTGTTTCACAAGGTACAATGCCCTTATAAGTCCCATATTGAGACAGCATACATAGTCAAGGAATAGTCTATTTCCTGTGTAACTTGCTCATCACTATCAGTAGGCCTTGTTTTTGACTAACAGAAGGTTATCAAAGAATAAGAAAATATCGATGAAGGCCTAAACTAGTTGTAATATAACAAACTTCAAATGACCTGGAATGAGGTCACAGAGAGTTGCGCTTCATCAGAATCCTATATATGTCAGAGACATATGTTAAATTCTCATGCAGTGGCTCAAAATAAAAGTAAAATTTCAGAGGGGAGACAGGAGAGGAGTATTGTAGGAGGAGAGAGGTGGAGAGGTGGAGAGGTGGAGAGGAAAGACGATAGAGCTGGGCGAGAGGAAGAGGGAAGGAAGGTGAGAGAGGAGATGGGGTAGGGAGCCAGTAGGAGAAGTGAGTAAGAGGGGAGACAGAGGCGGTGGAGCCCCGTGGAGGGGGCATAATACGCTGAGTCAGCGATTTCATTTATCAACCAGAGCTGTTCCAGCACATGACTTTGTGACACAAACTTTCCCACTGTCACCATGGTAACACCACAGAGATACGACCCTTACTTGGATGGAAAATTACTGAGGATAATAGCGGACGATTTTGTCACTCCTATTTGCAATATCTTCAATCTAAGCCTACAAGAAAGTGTGTGCCCTCAGGCCTGGAGGGAAACAAAAGTCATTCCGCTACCCAAGAATAGTAAAGCTTCCTTTACTGGCTCAAATAGCCGACCAATCATCCTGTTACCAACCCTTCTTATTTTTGTATTTAATATTATAATTTTTTGGGGGGGGGGGGGGGGGGGGGGTTGCAGATAGATTGTAACTTCCATCAATGTAATTGTCTGCATCACTTCCAATCCCCCATATGTTTTTTTTCTCTCGCATATACATACATACACTACCTTTCAAAAGTTTGGGGTCACTTAGAAATGTCCTTGTTTACCATGAAAACATACATGAAATTAGTTTGAATAGGAAATTAGTTTGAATATAGCAAAATGCATAGGAAATGTAGTCATTGACAAGGTTAGAAATAATGATTTTTAATTGAAATAAAAATTGTGTCCTTCAAACTTTGCTTTCGTCAAAGAATCCTCCATTTGCAGCAATTAAAGCCTTGCAGACCTTTGGCATTCTAGTTGTCAATTTGTTGAGGTAATCTGAAGAGATTTCACCCCATGCTTCCTGAAGCACCTGCCACAAGTTGGATTGGCTTGATGGGCACTTCTTACGTACCATACGGTCAAGCTGCTCCCACAACAGCTCAATAGGGTTGAGATCCGGTGACTGTGCTGGCCACTCCATTATAGACAGAATACCAGCTGACTGCTTCTTCCCTAAATAGTTCTTGCATAGTTTGGAGCTGTGCTTTGGGTCATTGTCCTGTTGTAGGAGGAAATTGGCTCCAATCAAACGCCGTCCACAGGGTATGACATGGCGCTGCAAAACAGAGTGATAGCCTTCCTTCTTCAAGATCCCTTTTACCCTGTACAAATCTCCCACTTTACCACCACCAAAGCATCCCCAGACCATCACATTGCCTCCACCATGCTTGACAGATGGCATCAAGCACTCCTCCAGCATCTTTTCATTTGGTCTGCGTCTCACAAATGTTCTTCTTTGTGATCCGAACACCTCAAACTTCGATTCGTCTGTCCATAACACTTTTTTCCAATCTTCCTCTGTCCAGTGTCTGTGTTCTTTTGCCCATCTTAATATTTTCTTTTTATTGGCCAGTCTGAGATATGGCTTTTTCTTTGCAACTCTGCCTAGAAGGTCAGCATCCTGGAGTCGCCTCTTCACTGTTGACGTTGAGACTGGTGTTTTGCGGGTAATATTTCATGAAGCTGCCAGTTGAGGACCTGTGAGGCGTCTGTTTCTCAAACTAGACACTCTAATGTATTTGTCCTCTTGCTCAGTTGTG